CCAAAGTGCTGGGAGAATAGGCATGAGCCACTGTGCCCGGCCTAATTCAGGTTTTAATTAGCTAACCCAGCATGCAATTAATCTCACTCTTAGGGGCTCAAAACACTTTCAGTCTGAGATAATGGGTGCTATAACCCATGTCAATGAATCCAAGCCTGTCATGTCTCATTTCTCCTTGTGCCAATACCGAAAGGAAGGAGCTGGGGAATAAATACCTCCAGCCAGTGCTCCTCCATTCCTCTCTGCCATCATGATGATCTCATCAGCCAAACCCACCTGGAAGCCAGACAGGAAGGTTGCCTGTGGTGGGCAGGACACATAGCAGTTTCCATGACACAGAGCAGGGAGAGCTCAGGGAGTGTGGATCAGGAGGGGAAAAGAGGACACCAGCAAACCTGTCCTGTGCATTGCACTCCAAAGTATACTGAATTTCCTGGCAATCAGGCAATAGAAAATATAAACTCTATGAATAAAGTATACAAGCAAAGTCATTAAATGAAAACTATATACAAACATAATTTGTGTTTACACATGCCACAACTAACACTTAAAAATGCAATAAAGAATTACTATAAATAAAAATAGCATAGCATTTCAAAATCCTTGAAATAAACCTATCAAAAGATATACAAATGGAAACAGCAATGCTCTGTTTATGAGAAACATTCCATATTCATGAATTCTAAGTCTCAGTGTGGTAAATTTGACAATGCTCTATAAAAATTAGAATGTTTTATAAACCTGGGAAATGTGCTTCTCTAACCTTAAAAATTGCCAGTAACAGAAAAAACACTCTTGACGTGAAAATGCAAAATGTGTAAACTTACCTCATCTAATAGGCATTCCGGAGTGCCAAAAAATGTATACACATTTTAAGAGATGTTCGCTGTAATCAGAATTGTGTGAATGCTGGTGGTAACCACTTTAAACACCTGTTGTAATTGCAGAAGTCAGAAGTGACTTGTGTTCATCTTATTGAGTATTCCAATTTTAATACAATTTTTCCTTTCTTAAACGTGTAATCATTTTTTGGCACCCTCTGTATTATAAAGCGGTGAATCATCTTGGGATTGTAAAAATGTTCTAAAATTGAATGTAAAGATTTACGACTGTGAATATACTAAAAACCATCGAATTGCTTACTTTACATGGGCTAATGCTATATGAGTTATATCTCAATAAAGTTGTAACAAAAAAACATAATGACATACCATGAAAAATCCACTGGAAATTCTAAATAGAATCACTGTCTGTTCCACATATTGGTGAGATATGGATCATGAAGAGCTGCCATGCACTGCTTTCCATGGTGCGCACCAGTACAGCCAATTAGTCTATCAGTGTAGTATTATCTATTTAGGTTGGATATTATATCCATACACCAGTCATTCTACTCCCCACATACGACTTTGAGAGAGATGTGCTCATTGTATCAACATACATATTCAAAAAGGCTTATAGCAGCATTGTTTACCATTTCTAAAACATGAAAACAAACCAAATAACCATAAACAGGAGAAGGGGTAATTTAATGTTTGACATACTTATTCAGTGGAATGGTACACATACCAAAGAGGAACACTCGACAGACACCTGTAAGAACTTAGCAAACATACATTTGGGCTAAAATAAGGTCTCATGAGAATACATACGGCATGATTCCATTTTTATGAAAATTCAAAATTTGTATAAAGTTTGAGAGAATCTATATTGTTTTAGAGATGGTACATAGGAGTAAAGCTTTAAAGAAAGGCCTAGATAGGGTGACTATGAAATGAGGATGAGGGTTAACCCAGGATAGCAAAGAAATTATTATTTCTATGAGAATTAGTAAGGAACCTTCATTCTTTTGTTTTTCTTGACCTTTGTTTCCTTTTTATCATGGTCTTCCTTTAAAATCATTTGTCCAAAAGTAAATATAATTTAAGTACTTCCTTTTTGATTGTAAAACTGGTAAAAAGTAATATTAACTGCTCAGATATAATTGGAAAAATTAACTTTTATTTACAAAAGAGATGGTCCCCCATTATTCAGAGAAGAGACCATGAATTGGAATTGGAACTCGGTGTTGTCATCATCCTGTACTTACACTCATAATCTCATCTGTGAAACAATAATTCATTAGTCAGAAGATCACCTGCTGGACTGTGAACAGGAAAATGTGACATAGAGGCTGGGTCACTGCAGAATGGATTTTGGTAAAGATGATTGAGGGGCAGTAGTGATATGCACTTTCCAGAAGCAGCACCGACAGCAGTCCTAGCCCAGGGTCTAGTGTCCAGCGTCAGAGCATCAGAGGTGCGAGCAGTGGTATCCTACAAAGGTGCTTTCTACCAGGGACCTGACCTAGGGTAGATTGTGGATTCTGTTCCCTGCTGTGTAGCCTCAAGCTTGGTTTTGTGGCCTTCCCACAATAAAACTAGCACTCAAGACCATATACACTATTTCATGTGTAAACTAAAAAAATCTGGTTTCCATCATTTGCTCCAAGTAGTGAGTGAGATTTCATTCTGGGGAATAGTTTTGGGTACCAGCATTCAAAGACATTCTTTTTTACAGAACTGAGAGCTACTTCCTGGATCTTCCACCTTACTATCTTATGGTAGAATGATGTGGATTTCTCAACATCACATTTCACAATTGATGTGATATACTCTCTTTTTTTCTGAGGGACAAAAATTCTTTTAGACAGGGTTTGAAAACCCTCCCTGGGCAATTTTTTATCACTGACTTTAGTGGTTCCCAATAGAGCAGAGCACTAGGATTTCTGGCACTGAGAAAATACTCAGGACTCTCCCAAGAACCCGTCTCAGCGTATTACACACAAGATCAAGGACTGCTTGCTTAACAAGCCCTACAGGTGAGGGTGATACACAGACATGTGAGATCCTGACCTGAGTTCTTGCTACTAAAGTGTGATCAGGCGATCAGCAGCATGAGTTCTAACCTGTTCTTGAATTCAGGACCTCACTCTAGACTCTAGAGATCCTGTATCTCTGCACAGCGTCCAGGTGACGCCTGCATACAGGAAGTCTGGAACTTCTTGGATCATGTGCCTTCTAGACATGGCATCATAACTGTGCAATCTGCTCTGGGCATGTAGTCTGATTAGATCCCTTAGCACTGTAGGTCCAGGGTTCAGCCCTTGTTCCTTTTGTCTTCTATAGAAAGGGAACACTCCCTCGGTGCTCTCATCCAAGCTTGAGGATTTAATTATCATTTATATGGTCCCACTCATTTGTCCAGCGGCTGCCCCACCTCCCTCCCCTGCATTCTAGTAGACACCTCCTCCTGTAAGTGCCTGCGATGGCCTCTCCTCAAGTATCTCCTGTAGTGTCTCCCTGTCTCCAATGACAGCAGCTCCATTCTTCTACTTACGCAGTCCAGAACTGCAGATGTCCTTGACTCCTCATCTCACACCCCAGACACAGTCCAGCAGGAAATGCTGTGACATCCACCTTCAATGTACACAGAATCCCATCAATTCCCACAATTTCCACTGCTCACACCACAGTCAAGGCAACCGACACCTCCAGCCTGGAACTACACTCGTTTCCTACTGTTCTCCCTCCTGCCTCGCTCGTCCCTTACCTAATTCTATTCTCAGCACAGTAGCCAGAGAAACTCTTAAATGAGAAGTTGTGTCATATCCCTTTGATCAAAACTGTCCCCTAATCTCCATCTCACTCAGTGCCAGGGTCAGTATCCTCCCCACACCCTCCAGGCCTCCCTACCGTGGCTGCACCTCTGAGGTTCCCTCAGCTACTCTCCATCCAGCCCTCCCAGCCTCCTCACTGTTCCCAGCACACAGACACCTGCTGCCCTGGTGGAACCCCCTGCCTGGAAAGAATGTTTCCAGACATTCTCATGGGTAACTCCTCAAGACCTTCCAATCTTTCCTCAAAGGTGACCTTTGCCATAGGGCCCACGCTGACCACCTGGATCAACAGCATCTTCCCTGTCTCCACATACCAACACTCTGGGCCATCTGCGCACAGCTCTTACCACCTTCCAACACAAACACTTTCCTAATTTAATCTGCTTACAGTATATTTATCATGTGTCTCTTCACTCTAGAACATATGCTCAAGGCCAGCAATTTTTCTGTTTTTATTTAACGATGTTTCTCAGGCACAAAAACAGTCTGTCATTTATCTGGCAACAACAAATGTCTGTTGAATGAACTATCATGTAGAGTACCTCCCTGTTCTAAACACACTATCTTTGTTAATGTAGCCTCAGTCCAAGTGCTGTTTTGTGGAACCTACAGCACGACGTCCTCTCACACAGATATCAAGGTCACCTGTGCTTTTTTTCACTAGTGTTGCTATGTGTCCCTCCCTCCATCCCTCCTCCCATACCCACCCTCCTGCACACGGCAACTCACAGTTGTATTTCTTTCTCAGGAAAGAACAATCCTTGACTATGGGCCCAATATTCCAAACAAATATAAATCTAAATGGAACTTGGCTATACAGACCCATGAGTTTGGAATGGAGCCAGCATTGGGTTTACTAGAACTAAGGGCAGGGACAGGAGATGGGAGAGCAGAGAGAAGAGGAGTCAACAGACATTGACCTAAGATGGTAACTATGGGGTCCCTTCTCTCTGCTAATTCCAGAAGTTGGTTCTGCTGAAAAGGTTGGGCACAGCAACAGGGATGGAACTGGGGGACATTACGTTAGGTGAAATAATCCAGGCACCAAAAGACAAATATCTCATGTTCCCTCTCCTATGTGAGAACTAAAAATATTGATCTCATGAAGGCAGCGAATAGATGGTGGTTACCAGAGGAAGAGTAGTGGGAAGGACAAGGAGGAATAAAGAGAGCTTGGCTAATGGGTACAAAAACACTGTTAGATAGAAGGAACAAGACCTAGTATAGAGTAGCGTGATAGGGTAACTATAGTTCACAATGATATACTGTATATTTCAAAATAAACACGCGAGATTTAGAATGTTCCCAACAAAAAGAAATGATGAATGTCTGAGGTGATGGATATCCTAATTACCCAGATTTTATCATTACATATCATATGCTTATATCAAATATCACAAGTACCCCATAAATATATACAATTGTTATGTATCCATCAAAATTGGAAAGAAATACAAAATAAAATAATAAAAAGGCTGAATAAAAGATGAAAAATATAACCCAGGAAAGAGCCCTTGAAGGATGGCAAGAACTAGACAGGTCTGAAAATTTGTCTTTTGATACCACAGAGATACCTTTGTAAAGGGGTCACCCTGGGTGAGGTCTGAGTCTCTGTGGTTACAAGTCCTGCTGGGACAAGGTTTTACTGAGGGCTCAAGGACAGCAGAGCAGTAAAGATGACAACTGAGGAGTGTCCATGTCAAAATGCATAATAAACTGAGCACCAATTGGGCACAGGCCCCTCTCACACTGGGCTCCTCACAGACTTCCCCTTCCAAACCTGCAATAGACTTAGTTCAGTAAACATGTGGATTCTGGAAGGTTCTCAGGTCTTCCATTTATTTCCTCTCTCAGGTTTTAGGAACCTTCTTTAGTTAGCTCATCAACCTCTCATGGCAAGATTTTGAAACACAAATTTATATTTGGATTCCTACTTTCATTAGGAATGTAAGAAGTTTTAGCACATCATGAAGTAGAGACAGGGATAGAGACACCTCGGAGCCCTTCCTCCCGCGCTCCCCCTCCTCAGAAAAGGAAAGATGAAGAGGGAAGGCACACAGGTCAGGGTGAGGAAAGGGGTCAATGTGGATACGGGGGTGGGCTCCTCTCCCTACATTTTCACATTATGCTAACAGTAACACAGACACATTCAAACGCCCTTTGTAGAAAGAGAAGTCAGAGGCTCTTGAAGTCACAAAGGGGAGGCATGAACATTCTTCTATCACTCAGTCCCACACAAGACAGCTGTGTCACGCTGTAGAAGAAAAGAGTCATGAATAAATACAAATCAGTTAAAGTAAGTGGTGACGTTAACAGCCCACCACACAGTCAAAATGTCCCCCAAATCCCTATAGCCTAGCTGTGTCTCCTCTGCCCACTCCTCCCCCCACCACATTATGCCCCCCAGAGTCACACCATTAGAAGTTGTAAGACACACATCAGAACCTTGGACACTCACCACCTGGAGTGGAACAAAACAGGCCCAGATAAGAGTCCACAGAAGATGTAATACTGGAGGAATTATGGGGTGGGTGAGCTCCCCCATGGGCTCCTATCTACACTAGTCCAAGAATCTGAGGGATCATGGCCACCATACTTACTTGCAGCCTGAGAGTAGCTCCCTCCATTTTCACCTGTGGGAAGAAAATGTTCAGTTAGAGACCAGGGAGAAAGCAGGGAGGGCCATGAGGTCCAAGGGGAACTCCTAGTCTTGAATCCCAGAGAAGATTCCCAAACTGTGACTATAGACCCAGGACAAAATCAGGAAACAACAGGAAAGGAAATGTACAAGAACTGGACCAACTGCTCTCCCCAACCCCCAGAGTTCTGTCTTCAGCAAGGACCTCTGTGACCAGCGACTGCTGAGAATCAGGTCCCCATCACCACAATCATCAAAGTGAAACCTGCCCTTTATTTCCACATTTTCTTTGCAAAAGAATAAGTGTTGGCACACAGGACCCCAGGCTGGGGAAGCATTCGTGTGTGGATGGTACTTCCCATTATTGAGGCAGGACACACATCTACCTAAACCTTGAAACTCTCAGTGGAACAAGAAAACCCAGACTCCACCCCTCATCCCTTCCTTACCTGAGCTCTTCCTCCATATCACAGCTCCAGTGACCACAGCTCCAAGGAAAACCAGGCCAACAAGGATTCCCACAATGAGGGGGATGGTCTGGGAAGATGGCTCTGGGAAAGGAAGGGAGTGTGAGGGGCCCTGACCCCAGGCTTCAGCCCTGACCCTGCTGAGGTCTCCAGAAGGCCTCCTGCTTTCCATGAGAAGAGACTTGACCTCTCATCGCCTCCTTACCCCATCTCAGGGTGTGGGGCTCTGGCAGCCCCTCATGCTGCACAAGGCATGTGTATCTCTGCTCCTCTCCAGGAGGTACCACCACAGCCGCCCACTTCTGGAAAGTTCCATCCCCTGAAGGCCTGGTCTCCACAAGCTCCATGTCCTGAGTTTGGTCTTCCCCATCCCGCTGCCAGGTCAGTGTGATCTCTGCAGGGTAGAAGCCCAGGGCCCAGCACCGCAGGGTGACGTCCCCATCAGGGCTGGTGTTGTGGGTCATATGTGTCTTTGGGGGATCTGAATGAAAAGTCAGAAATTTTAGGCACTTTGCATTGTTCTTGGGACATTCTAGCAGCAATCATGTGACTATCCTGAGAATGGACAGGACAACTGGAGTGGGGTAAGGAGTCAAAGCTCACACACCAGCCTGACACAGGCATCGGGGATGATCTATTCTTTGGAAAGTTCTAGTCTCTGAGAGAACAGGGACTTCTGGTCCTGACCTCAGTGGAGGCTGAGTGACTCTGGAGAGCTGGAATCAGACCTCCAGACACACTGAGTGTGAGGCAAAGAACAAAGTCTAAGAGAAAGTCATGATGCTCAAGGCTGCTGCAGGGGTGAAAGGGACCCGCTGATCCGCATTTCAGGGATTGTCTTCCCTTCTCTTCCCTCAGAGACTCCACCCCTTATTGTCCCAGAGAGAAGAGTGGACCTCAGAATCACTCTCTGTAATACGATCTGGAAACGCAGGAGGATTCTTCTTGCTCTGGATGGGAGGAGGGCGATATTCTAGGGTTGACCTCATTTGCTTCCCCTCCCTGTGGGGAGATCGGAGAGGCACCCCTTAGGTCTGGTACCCGTGCGCTGCAGTGTCCCCTTCCCATTCTCCAGGTATCTGAGCAGCATCTTCACACACTCCCCCTCCAGGTAGGCCTTCTGGTCCTCTGCAGCCCGGGCCTCCTCCCACTTGCGCTGGGTGATCTGAGCCGCCGTGTCCGCCGCGGTCCAGGAGCGCAGGTCCTCGTTCAGGGCGAGGTAGTCGGCGCCGTCGTAGGCGTGCTGTGTGTAGCCGTGGAGGAGGCTCCGGTCCGGCCCCACGTCGCAGCCGTGCATCCTCTGGATGGTGTGAGACCCTGAGCCCGCCTCGCTGTCAGCCCCGCACGCTCGACCCCGCTCCCTCCCTGGCCTGCCCACGAGGAGTTTGGTCTAAACTGAAAGTGAAACCAGGTGAAAGTCGCCTGAGGCTCTTCCCGAGTCGGGGGTCTCGGCTGGTCCCTCAGACTCGGGGTGAATCTCGGGCCGGGAGACTCGGACCACCCAGGCCGTCCGTGGGGGATGAAAAGGGCCGTGACCTGTGACCCGGGCCCGGGGTCACTCACCGGCCTCGCTCTGGTTGTAGTAGCCGAGCAGGGTCCGCAGGTTCACTCGGGATATCTGCGCGTTCCCCTTTTGGATCTGTGTCTCCCGGTCCCAATCCTCCGGGCCCTCCTGCTCCATCCACGGCGCCCGCGGCTCCATCCTCGGACTCGCCGCGTCGCTGTCGAACCGCACGAACGGCGTGTCGTCCACGTAGCCCACGGCGATGTGCCGGGGCTCCACGCGGCCGGGCCGTGACACGGAGGTGTAGAAATACCTCAGGGAGTGGGAGCCTGGGGGCGGGGAGGGGCTGAGACCCGGCCGAAACCTCCACCCGGCGTGGGTCCCCGGTTCCGAAGCTGA